TTTTTTTTTTTTTAAATTTTGGTTTATTAGTGTTCTTCTCTTCAATATATATATGTTCAATTTATCCTTCTGTTGATGTCATATATATATAATATTATACCATCAATTAATATTAGTTTATTGTTAAAAACTAACAAATTTTAGTTTAAGATAATTTTTTATTAAAATTTGTCTTTTTATTGACTTTTTATTTAATACAAAGATACATAGTTTTTTTTTTTTTTTCAAAATTTCATTTGCCCTCCTCAAAAAAATTTCTAGCTATGCCACTGGCTAGGATAAAAGCTCCTTGACATCCTGAGGTGGGTTGATTTTATCTTTTATTTCATTAATCAAGCCATTGAATACATTAGACTTATAAAGGATATCAAGGTACGAGAGAAAGACCAATGTTTGGAGAATGAGATTCAAATGGTCTAAGGGATGCTCCATCGGAACATCATCAAGATAAAATGATACTAATTGATACATTGTGATTCAACATATTACAAAATATATTTATTAAAAATTATTATTTTATAATTTAAAATTAAAAATAAATAAATTTAAAAATATAATTATACATACATGATGTAAAAATTAATAATATTTTTATTATATTTTTAATAATTAAATCAAAATAATATCAAAAAAATATTAAATCGAGTTATATTAATCATTTTTCTTAAAGTTATTACTAACCTTTTGTTATGACTCAAATTTTTGTCAAAAGAAATTATATTTTAATCACATAATAAAAAAAATTAAATTTGCTTTAAAATTAGTGTCATGTAATTTGTTTTTTAAAAAAAAACAACCGTTTTATGCAAAATCAAACTGTTGAGTTGAGGTGGCAAGCAAGCACTTGCCAGCACCTGACATGCACATGTCAGGTGGTCCAACTTTGTGGTTGGATTTACTTGAAAAATGGTCAAAATGGCCAAAACGATGTTGTTTTGAGCATTTTGGGGCAAAATTTTTTGACCAAGCTCGACTCTGTTCATACTTCATAGAGCTGACCCTAGTCACTTTTTATGATATGTTTTGCTACAACGTGGCTTGAATTTCAGTGGCCTAGTTTAACCCGTTTAAATGTTTGGGTCTTGTTTTCGGAGCGGGTCATCTAACCTATTTAGTTCGAGGCATTACAATGGATTAAAAACAAAAACAAAAATAAATAAATAAATAAATAAAATGATTGTGATGATTAGTTTAATGTATGGTTAATGGGATTAATTTATTTTAATTAGAGTAAATTAATTATATTCTATTGTCTTAATTAAGGTGATTAAATTGTTTGATTATCTTAATTAGAAACTAATGAATATAGTTAATTAATTTTAATTAATCTTAATTAATATTGAATTACCTTTTAATTAAACTAATTATCATAATAAATTTATTCTAATCATTTCACAAAGCGTAGGAATCTCATGATTCTCATCTTAGCTTGTGACATTTCTAACACTCAAAATTATGTCAAAATCCCCATTTTCAAGAGATTTGATAAAAATAAAGACATAACTTTTTAAAAATTTCTAATTAAGAATATAACTTTTTTCTTTAGTAATTAAGGTCATTTCTTTTTGAAAGTTTTTAATTAAGGATATGATCTTTGTGATTTTTCTAAAAAATGTTTAAGTAGATGTGTCAAGATCATATCCTTGACTATAAACTTTAAAAGGCCGTAACCTTCAGTAGTAAAATTGCAAATATCACAACTTTAATTAGAAACTTTTAAAAGGTTGTAACTTGTTTGATAAAGAAAAAATGTTGTATCCTTAATTAAAAATTTTTTAAAGGTTGCGTCTTTATTTGTACCAAATCTCCCATTTTCAATTGTGCCTAAGTCAATGTAAAAACAGAGCATTTTGGACTTGTGCCAATACAGATGCTGACGTCTAAGTTTGTTGTGATGAGTTTCGAGCAGCTGAAACCTTCCTTTTCCATGGATCAAAGCATCCAAGGTTTCCAACCCGTTGAGAGGAAATGTAAGCAAAGCCAACAAGTTGCTTATAAGTACTCTCGCGGTATCCGTCAGTGAAGAGGATGTTCTCATCATAATCATTGGCGAAGGGTTGCTCCGATTCCCTGTCAGAAAGTGATACAAGCAGTCCAGCTTCCTTTGCATTCTGTAATGTGCAAGGTACAAGTATGTTCCAGGCCGATTAACAGCTATGCAACAACTGTCTCCGGTAAAAACAACCATCTCCTATGCAGAGAATTTTTTTTATCAGCAATCTTGGCAAACTCAAGTCCCTCTTACCACAGCACTCATCCTGAATAATAACATTCGCCTTTCCCATTTCAAAAATTCTTTGCAGTGTATTACATGCTTGATCTTGGCTGCAGAGGCTCCTTGTCACATTGTCCCATTTTTCTCAAAGAATCTTGGTCTTCCCATTACCAGTAATCTTGGTCTTCCCATTACCAGTAATCTTTGCAGGAGCATTTTCCTTCATTGAAATGGTGGAATCTGTTTGAATCTCTCAAGATAATTGGACGGTTG